CCTGAAAATTCATAAACTAAAACCTGTAACAGAAAATCAAAACCTGCAGCCATCAATCTGGAAAGCTATTTCCACTTCCACAATCATCAGAAGCCATAAAAAACAGACTCCAATAAAGGATCAAGTATGAAACATTACCATTAACATTACAAATCTGTAGAGTAATCGTTATCTAAGTCGCAACAACCTAGACTAAAGTAACCAAATTAAATTCTTAAAGATCACATCCTAACAAATCTTAATAGAGTACACATGAACCATTTGAAGCAGCAATGAGAAAACGAGAAAAGTAACGACATCTTAATAGAGTAAACATGAACAATTGCAAACATTTTTCAAAGACTGCACATATATACCAAAGAGGAGACATTGCGACAGTCCATAAATAAGGCATGGTTTGCTTGAATCCTAAGAACTACGTGAGTAAAGACTCCATCATGTTCATTGAAAAAAAAACAAAGAAAAAGCGGAAAGACAGACCTCTCTTGGTTATTTCTTGAGCTTTGCTCTCTTGCCACTCTCACTAAATGGAAAAGAGCTCTGGAAGTATTTGAGGATTCATTGTATCTGGGAAACAAGTAAGATATTAGAGTAGAAAAAGGGAGAGTTCTATGATGTATGAAAATAGATATGTAAAAACTCACTAGAAGAACTCGATGGAGACTTTTTGCTTTCTAAATCGAAATCATTATCTCACTGCTAAATCAATCTAACCCAAATTCATCTACAATTGCTAATAAATCTAGTGAATCCTAACAAAATCGTACATATGGAGCCGAGAGAAAGAGAAAGACGGGAGTCGGAGGGAGAAGGATTAAGCAATTGATCGAGAAACCTTTCAGCTACGAAGAACCAAGCGACGAAGATGGTTTGGGTTTCACCTACGTTTCAGCCACCGAAATTAAATTTATGGTTTAAGGCTATCTCAGACCACCGACGAAGATGGAGACTGAAGATTTCATCAAATTGAAGAAGAATAAGATAAATTTGGGGATGAAAGCGAGGGTGACAAAGAGATAATGGATCTGAAATCTGAAGCGAAACTGATAAAATCTAATAGATCTAGGGTTGCATAATCAGAGGAAGAGAGTAAGCGAGAGAGGAGAAAAGAAGAATAGAGAGGTATAGGAGGAGAGAACGATGAAGGAGAAGAAGATAGAAATTAGGGTTGTCTCTTAATAATTTAAAAAAAAAAAATTTTTTGCTAAAGTGTTAAGCGGTTTTTGTGAAATATTTGCAAAGTTTTGGCGGTCATAAGTGATTCTACGTCTCTTCTTTGCTATTATAGGGCTTAGCATTTTTCAAATGCTACGATATAGTTACAAATCCCTCGATATCATCTTTAATAGCATTTGCAAAATCCGTGCTATCCGAATATGCTATCAATGCACACTTTTTTTGTAGTGACACGTAATCATGAGAAAAGACTCAAGGTAAAATTATTAAATTAATAAGATGTTAGGGAACAAACAGTTAAACTATAGCACAAATAAATTTTCAGTTATTAGTGACCATTGATAAAAACAAATTAGTAAAATCAGAAGAGTAAAATGAAAATAGTGTTTGATTTATTAACATAATTCTATAATTTTCATATATTGAAGAAATAAATTAAAAGTATGATTGATGGATGATTTAATGCAATAAAGAACTTTTCTGATTTTTTCATTTAATTTTGCTAATTTTTTTTATTTAAATAATGTAAAATGGCACATGTCATTTTCTTGTGTTATGATGTGACACTCATATGGAGAGAGTTGGCCAACTTTTATATATATGTTTTTTTTTGTTAAGAAAACTTGTGTAGTTGTACAAACAATAATTGGAATATTCATTGTCCTAGATTCAGGTTATCAGACCCCCTAAACATTAATGTCTATGGAATGCTTGTATAGCTGTATATTCTCCAGTTTAATAGTATTGATCAGCCTCGTATTTAAACCTTATACTATCTATACATCAGCATAATATATACCTTAAACAATTACAAAATATCTCAATGCTTCTATGGATTTCAGCGATATATAAGGGAGAGATTATTGGTTCATGGATTTATAAAGAATTGGAAATTCAAACAAAATTTATTTTTTATTCATTCATTGATTTTAAAATCTTAACTAAAATCATGTGTTATTAGTTTTATGATTTATAAATATTACTTAAAATCATATGTTAAAATCATATGTTTTAAATGGATTTGAATGGATTTGAATGTATTTGAAAGAAAAAAAAATATAAGGATTCAAATCCACATATTATTTCAAAATCCATATTTCTTGATTTCATAATTAATAAAGATTTTCAAATTCTATATGGATTTATAGATCAATAAACTAATGACACCCCTTAGTTTTAAGAGTCCCGTTGAATTCTAAGGTAATCAAATTTAAACTGTAGAATATGGTGTGATATGATTGTAGTTTAAAATTTTTGGTTCTTTTAATTAAAATATATACATATGTTTTTTCTTTTTCAAATAAACTTACGTTCAAGTTAAACTGGAGAATAAGGTATATATTTAATCAAAATGTATACATATGTTCAAATTATTTCATTTTGGGTTTGGTTTCCACTTTTTAGGTACGTATTTTTTTTTTTTTCGACTGAATGATTACCATTAGAATAAGCCAAGGAGAATTACAAGGTAGAATACGTTTTGAAACACAGGACCGACAAGAGTCGAAACTCATTCGGAAACGAAGCCGGCGGAAGACATAAATATCCCCGGAAACAAAGCCCAAAAAAGGGAAGCAAACTATAAACATAAGGCAAAAGAAGGTAAGCCCAAAAGGAACCTAAGAACTAAATCTGAAACTCGACACCATCATAACCCACAAACAATCCCAGGGAACCAGTTTACGTTGGAGCTGAACCAAGAATCATGAGCCTCAAGAAGAAACAACCAAACAGACAATCTCCCACAAACCGGAGAACCCGAAGAAGAACGAATCCGAGAACTCAACCAGCCACAGCCCGACAGGACAGAGAGCAGGAACAATCCGATAACAGAGCACAGCAACAAACACCAATACGCCTCCTCCATCCGGGGCATGAGCTCGAGCGAAGCTAGGCACAAAGAGAAACTTTGAAATAGGCCGGGGATAAGTCAAAGAGGATCACCAACGCTTACACGCGGACAAAGCGAACCAATCAATGCCACCTACAGACAAGAACCGGTCACGACCTCGCAAGAGAAGAACTAGAGAACGAAACCACTGCTGCGCCGTGAACCCAACCACAAAAACCGAAGACGGCTTCAGAGAAAAGCTAGTAGATGCACCTGCAGCGATGTACCATCCGAGTGACAAACCCCAAACACGAACCGAGCCCACCAAAGAACCACACGCAATCAAGAGGAAGCAACCGGAGCAGAAGAACTAGGATCCCAAAACAGAGAATTAATGCGAGCATAGCCCTACACCGGAACGCACAGCAAAGCCATACAATAAGCCGTGGAGATAGAGCCAAAAACTAGCCAAACATAACCTCTACCCAGGCCAAAAGCACCAACGAAACCTTCAACTCAAACAACTAGATCTATAGCAAACACAATCAAGGAAAAGCGAAAGATAAGAGGAAACATGGGAGGCGAGAGGAAAAAACGGGCCACCGAGAACCAGAGCCGCTGTAGTTCAGAACCGATGAAAGGAGATAGACAAAGCCTCCGATGCTCCAAACACAATGAAGCACTTGGAATGAGACAAGAAGAGGCACCACACACAGAGGCGATAGCGAGAACGGCGGCTCCATTAACACCATCTACCTAAAGGCCTTTCGATTCTGATCTCCATGAACCAACCTCCATCAAATCTGAGAATCTACGACAACCCAAATCGTCTCGCCAAAACCACCACGTTTCCACAATCGAAGAGAGCAAAGACAAGAAACTAAAGAGGAGACCGACGCTGACGCTGTAGGAGCCGCCACGCGCCGGTCAGACCTGAGCCAAGAAGGAAAGGTTGAAGACGGCGATTAGGTTTGACCACCCAAAATGTTGTGACCAAGACTATATTATATCAGGGAGTTTTTCTTTGATTTTTTTTTTTTTTTTTTTTTTTTTTTTTTTTTTTTTTTTTTTTAGGTACGTATATAAAAAATCTTTTAATATTTAGGTAAGATATACTTTGATATTTAGATCAAAGTTTTGGTTTAAATAATATTTTTTGGGGTTTTGTTTTTGATTCAGTATTATATTCCAAATTGTATTTCACAACTTCTATTATATATCTTTTTGTGATATATAAAAAACTATTTGCTAAAGTTAAAGTGGTAAGTCATTTTTGCGGGTATTTCAGCTACTAAACCATGATCTATTCCGATCTATACCAAAAAAAAAAAAATGGTTTTACATATATATACTGAAAATTGAGTTGAATCTAACGTTAGTTAATCAACCATTACTAAATCTTGGTTGTCTTGATCAATTAAACAAAATTTGTTGAAATTTCAAAACTATATTTTACAGATAAGACAGTTGTCTTTTTGGATAGTTAAGAATTTAAAGCTTGATTTAAGGATCTCTTTTTGTTAGGTAAAGCTTTAAGACCAATTTAGTGTTAGATGACAAATATAAATATTAGATACTATTCCAACTTCAAGCGATGTTAGCAATTAGATTGTGGGTTACGTACGGATAATTTATTTCTATTTGTGTAGCTTAGAATCGCCTGCATTTTAAACTTTCCATCCAAGAAAACTATAACATAAAAATTAGTTAACACCACCAGCCACACAATTGATTAATCATTGGAGTATAACTAGGTTCTCAACCCGCGCTCTGTTTTTAGTAATATTTTGTATTACTATTAATATTTATTGAAAATATGGAAATATATGTTTTTATTTATCTATTTATTATTAATATTTTAAATTTTTGAATTTAAAATTAGCAGATAGTTCAATTTAAATACACAACTAAAAAAAAACTCTAATACAACTTTTAGGATTTTACAACATTTATCAAAGGAATATGTTTTTGTTTAATTTCTTTCTTTAGCCATTTTGGATAACCGGGTCTTTTTACATATGACATTTTGATTGAATGTCATGAAATAAATTGCTGTATGGAGATTAACTTCGACGACTTTCTCATTTTGGTATTCGCAAATTCACTATTGTTTTTCGTCTATCTCACTGCATTAGTTAGTATAGCTCTTGTAAAGATAAGTTTATTTATAAAAGTATATTCATAAACTTATCTGTACTTTTCTTAAACAATTCATATTTTTCTTTTGACAAAAGAAAAAAAAAAACAACTCATATTTTTCTCACATTCTTTTTAATATGTATATGAATTTTTGTCTTCACAATATTTTTCGAAAGCTGTCACTATTTTTATCTTTTTGCAAGCACTTATTCCCATTAGCACATCTACCATTCACAAAACTCAGTCGGACTCTTTCGGCTTTACTCTCCCCAAAATAATAAAAACTACTCTTAGTCTCACATGACAAAAATAACAAAAGGCTGATCTCTACGGAATATAGCATCTGGGAATGAAGAAAGTCAAAGTGATCCATTAGATGTGGATGTAATGCCAGAGTGAGCCACACAAAAAAAAATGAGATAGTAACAATCGATGATGAGAGTCAAAATCAAAATAAAATCATAGTATATAAATTAACTTTCAAACATAAAAACATGGTTATGATTTATGATTAGAGACAAAAGTAGAGATAGCCATATAAAATTATGAGTATGAGAGAAAATTTAAATAAAAGAGATTTAAAGCATCAACATGTGTAGTTACGATTCTTAAAGTATTGACATGTATAGCTGCTCATGGGTTTGTCATAGTTTACTTGAGATACAAGTATCTAAGTGCCAAGATCAAAGAAGAAGAGAAGGTTAGCCAGTCCCACCGCCAACCAAATCTCTTTCTCCCACAGTCTCCCCGTCTTCCCACGAACACAACATCTACGTCGCTCTTAAAAATTGAGACAAACGTCATCATCACCATTACAATCATTAATCTTCAAAAGTCGCAACTTTTGATCAGATTTCATAAATGTTGTAATGCCCCGACCGTCTCTACCAGTGGGTTCCACGTCCTCTCTCGGGCCCATGGGTCCACCCCTATCCGACGGCTGGTCCGCTATGTCCGGAAGGCTTTAAAGACTTGTTTACCAACCCTACAAATCATCACATGATATTTCCC